CAAATTTATTAACTCTCAAAATTATTATGTAAGTCTAAAATAGAGCTAAACCATCCTTTATACAGAGCTAACATGCCACTCCTAACCCTAAAAAGACTCTATTTTGCATTGCACCCTAAAGAGAATAGAAACAAACCCTAATGGACTTGAAAGGATACAAAAATAATAAAGTTTAAAACAATGAGCCTAAATCTAACTTAATTAATTAGTTCTAATTATAATTAAGTTATAAAAAATAGGCTCGATATAATTTAAGGAGCCCAATCTTAGACTTGGATCGGATTGATAAGTCTTGAATTCTCCTCTCCTCTTAAGATGGCGCCGTAACGCTCCCTTGTGCCCTTGGAAGTACATTCCGCCCAACACTCTTAAATCAACCTATGGAGAGCTTTTTTAAGCTTCTTAGCCCTAGCCCACATCATTGGACCAACTTTAATATGTACTTGGATCAAATCTTAGACTCGCAAACTCACCATCTTGGATCTTGCTTGTAGACGCCACCTTGCTAACCCGTTTGGCTCCTTAGTTTCCATTAATACAACCTTGACTTTCTTTATTCTCATCATTTATTACTCCCTAGGATAGACATATCCGTTGGTCTATGTCACCTGTTTTAGGGACCATTCAATTTATTATGACTAATCAATTAAGTTGTATTAAGTATTATCAACTTTATTGATTCAAAACAATCTCCATATGATATAGCCAAGAAAAAATAGACTATGTTAATAATGAGCGATCATAATAGTATTTAAATGGGTAAGAATAATCCATTCTCAATTGAATCCTCATACTAATCATAGCCCAACTATTGGTAATATTTTTAACTCCGAAAATGAGATTATATGGTAAATGATATATACCAAGTAGATACCGTAATTGTATTGAAAAGTAGTATCAACTATGGGCTAATTATCTATCAAGGTATGTGCCACCAAGTGGTTATTATATATCCTTTGGGATTAACGAGTTTAATTCCATAATTACGATATAGAGAGGAATTCCATAAAATATTATTACTAATACCTTAACTATTCTTAAATATCAAATTATTGTCTAATAATTATAGTCCCTCTATTGACTAGTTTATAACCTAATACACCTTAAATTCCTATGTTGTATGGTATGCTCTTCGTTATTATAATAGTTAATATGCCATATTATCTAATATATTTATAATGTTTAAGAATTGCCATTAGAAATTAATATGGGAGATAATCATCCTTATGAACACCTACTCAACATCTTAAAGGACATTTAATGGGGACATAATAATCTATTATACAATAATACTCTCTTACTCTCTATTGGGTATGTCCATAAAGGCCAGCACTATAATCCTACAACATGAGTATAATGAAATAGCCAACTACCATCTATAATTCACAATTGCATATCTATAGGAAGGCTAATAGTAACCAAAACAAACATATCCGTTAGTCTATGTCACCTACTCACTTATCCGGGGCCATATAGTACTACCTATAGGGGCCTATTTCACCTACTCGTAACTTTAAAGGGAGGCTAAAAGTTACCGAAATAAGCACTATGTTGGATGATTACTAAAAAAACTAAAATATTTGCGATAGTCATTATTCATTTACTATAGCAATTTTTTTTTTTTTTGGCCTTGGGTTGAACGGTATGCTACTCGGCGCTTAAGCCAATCCCGACGACTCGACCCTCTTTTGTTGGCGACTCGTTCTCGCCCTCTTTCTTTCTTTCTTTCTTTTTCTCTTCATATATATATATATATATAGCATCCATCATAATAGAAAGTATGTCTAGTGAAAGAGAAAGAAAAAGGGCCACTGAAAATAAATGAGCAAATATAATCAATGTCTATTCACTTTTTCTTTTTCTTTTGCTTTTTATGACAAGGCTTTTAACCCAAATCAATCTCCATCTTTTTTTTAATATTTGAACCTTTTTTTTATAACAATAATATTTGAATTTTTTAAATACTTGGTGCTATGGTCTTCTAATTTATCTAAAATTAAAAAAAGAGGACAAGCGATATTTTTTTCCATATATATATATATATATATATATATATATATATATATATATATAATCTTGAAATTAAGTGTAAAAACTATAGAAAATAAATCGTTAGTTTTCTAATTTTACATACAATTTGAAGATGATAGAATATATATGATGTTTGTTAAAATTTTAGTTTGAACATATATATCTGATTATATTACTCTTATTGTTTAAAATTTATTTCTTCAATTACTTATTTTTTATTAAAATTCTCATCAAATTATTTTTTTGATATAATTTTATTTGTTGATAAATTTTATTTTTTTATTTATGAATTTTGGAATAAAAGTTTAGAACGTTGGTGTTTTAATTTTTAAAAATATATTACTATAATTTATACAATAAATTATTTTATGATTTTTAAATAAGTGTTTTATTTTCTAAAATTAATTATTATGATTTATAAATTATGATTATATATATATATATATATATATATTGGAATTTAACAGGAGCAATTTTGTTGTAATTTTTATTTTAATCTATTGACTTCATTATATTTCATACAATTTAGGTTTTTTTTTTCATATATTTTTCTATTTATTCTATATACTCTACTTTTATATATATATTTATTCAAAATTTATCAAGAGCAATTTTGTTGTAGTTTTTATTTTAATCTATTGACTTCATTATATTTCATACAATTTAGGTTTTTTTTTTCTTTTTTGTATATTTTTCCATTTATTCTATATACCTTGAATCTATTAAGTGTATATATATTAGAAATTCACTATATATTTGTACGGATACCATCAATTATTTGTTATTTATTTTTTCATATTCTAATTTTTTTAAAATAAAATAAGTTAGATAATGTTTTGAAAGAAGCTTCTAATTATTCAAATACAAATTTTTATATTAATATTATTAAATATTTTGTTAATAAATATATATGAATCAAATAATTTCGCTTAATATATAAACTCGATTTACATTAATCACTAAAAATAAAACTTCCATTCGCACTACATCATAAGAATCGTTAACTCTACGCACGTAACGGTTGTTTGACCGTAGCATAGCGCGGGTATCTAACCAGCAACCTCTACATATTAAAAAAAAAAAAACTAAAAGAACCGAGGGTGAGACTCGTTCATGGTACAATCCCCGCTCCTTTTTCCCGCCTTGGCTTTTTTTCTTTTCTTTTTCTTAAAGTCCTAGGTCGCTGAATCGGTCCTTCACGGTTTCATTCGTTGTAGCATCAATCACAATCTCATTATCGTAGCTTTTTTATTTTATTTCCCCTAGCTAGTATCCCATTTTATTTCTTTTTTTTCTTCTTCTTAATGGGTTGGGCTATTGAGATTTAGTTTTTCCTTTCTTTTTTAATTTGTTAATAAATTTTTTTTATATGACTTTTGAAATAAAATTTTGGAACATGAATGTTTTATTATTTAAGATATATTATTATAATTTACATGATTGATTATTTTTATGATTTTTATATGAAAATGGTGTTGTTGCTTATATAAATTCTAATGAGAGAGAAAGAGCCAAAAGTATGTTTTAAATAATTTGACTTCATTTTTCAAAAAAATAATAATCGATTAAAAAAATAATTTGACTTGGTTTTTGTTCAAAAAATTAATAATTAGTTAAAAAAATTCACGAGCTTTATTTGGTTATATCTATATATAATCAGAATTTATCGAAACCAATTTTATAGTATTTTTATTTAAATCTATTCTTTTAGACATATTCCATATAATTTAAGTAGATTTTTTTTATTTCTTTTTATTTCGTTTACTGCGAGTCTACAGTTAAGTACAATATATATATATATACATGTGCACACACACACACCAACCAAGTGCGACCCTCGCTCTTTTTTTTTCTTCCTATAATTTATTTTATATTTTTAAAGTTTGACCACCAATCTCATGATGAAAAAAAACAAATTTGGTTAATTATTTTATTTTAAATCTTGATGTGTTTTGGGATTGGATCACCAAGAAGCAAAAGGAAACTGCTATTTAGATATATTATGTTAATGAAGTGGTAAATATATGATGATGCGAGTATAATGAGTGATACTTGAGATATAGTCACTTAAATCATTCTCCCCGTAAAAGAATGGAGAGACAAATGGTATCAAATAAGGGTAAGGCCATAAGCATCATCTAATACTCCGTAAGGGAATGTCCCATACAATTATCTATACTTATTATAATAATACTATAAGCTAATATTGAGAGGTAAACATATATTTTCGTTAAGTTTATGGTCAAATAAACTATCCTTAGATTAAGGCCGCTATGAACATACAAACTCAATTCAACTTGCCTTATACATGAGTATCTTGTTAGAGAATAATGGCTAATATTTGACCCTTCATATTCCATTCTATTATATTCATAAAGAGAATTCATATTCCATTCTATTATATTCATAAAGAGAATTACTCGTTTATCATTTACATCGAACTCTCTAATGCTTAATGCTTATGGAGAAGAATATATGGAAACATTACCATGTAATTTGGGTGATTATATGATGACCTATTTTATAAAGATATTACCTTTATATCCCACTAGTTGGAATATCATCTTATCCACCTCTCTTCCTCTATCGATATTAAGGCCTATACATAAATTAATTGTCCCGACATTTGCTCATTCCCAAATGTCTTAGCTTTTAGAGTAAGGGAATAACCAATGATCCTCCCTCAAGGTCGTTCTAGTAGGAATTTAGTTTGAGCGACTTCCATATGTAATAATCCTTATGGATATATGACTTCAAGAGGGGCTAGCACATGAGGGATATTATTAGATACAAGATTGGTTCCCTTACTCTAAGAGCTAAGACATTTGGGATAAAAAGAAAATCTATGTTAAACTCCTCAATAATATTTAGAAATGTTATTATATCTAATTTAAAACATTGATCCTTATTTTGTAAATCAATAACTATAGGACATTTACATCTCTCTCTCTCTTGTCTGTCTCCCTCACTTGGCTTCCCTTTCTCCCTCTCTTCTTCTGTCTCCCTCTTTTTCTCTTACTAGATAAATCAATACATTATATCCCTTAATAATCGGATGTCTCTAATATGGGAATGTGCCTCTCCCTCTATGAATCATTTAGAATAAACCCCTCCCTAATCAATTACAAATCACTTCTCCTACTCTCATGGAGGAGTATTTAGGGTATGTGAATTAATTGTTATCCTTGTTTCTTATGGTCTTTCATTCACTCATTTACACATAAAGAACTCCATAACTAATTCCTTATTACCGAGATGCTTGGCCCAAAGGGTTACCCATTCTTTTCAACTGCATCACTATTAATATTCTTGTGTGTTTTAAAATCACGAAATGTAAAGGTTAAAAATGTCATATAATCATTCCTCAAGGTCATCTCCCACTCTCCAAATAGACTATTATAGTAGGGGAAGCAGAAGTTTGCATACTAAATGGTTATATGACATTTTAATGAATTATAATCAATTAATATAATATAGTTATAAATAAAGATAGTACGAGTATCTCCTCTATTTTCTTCTTGAGATTGAGAGATTATTTGGAAATGGAGATATTAATTCGACTATTGGGAGAGGGATGACCTTAACGAATGATTAAATGACATTTTAACCTTTACATTTCTATTGTAAAATATGGGAGAGTATCTTAAAGTGTGAGCCATAGATGTCCTCATGTTAACATATCTAGGATTGTTTATGATCTAGTCTATATGTATAATCTCTTATCCATACGTGGCAAGGTGTCCTGTTACGATATAGGAGCGTAATCCAAACCTCTTAAGATTGGGCCAATAAGAATTACTTGTTATTCAAATAGTCACCATTAATCCGTGTTCATCAATCTTAAAATCCAAGTATTATAGGACACAATAGAAATGTTTCTCTCTACGAGTCATATGAGAAATATGTCTCATATTTTGGGGTTCCCTCTCTCTCTTCCCCCTTTCTCTCTCCACACTATGATGTCAACACATGTCAATTATTCCCCCTCTCGATCCCTCCTAGAAGAATGATATTTTTGTCAAGATTATTCCCACTACTTAAAATACTACCTGTTAATATATATCATTCCTATTTTGGAAAGGATAGTGCAAACCTTCTGCTTATGTATTTATAATCTTACTAGGATGTAAATAATAATCGAGTTTGAATGTCAATTATTACCCACATATTGTTAAAATATTATAGCATTAGGTCAATCTATTAGTAATAGAGGTAAACGGAGTTATAAAAGGGTTTCCTAATAATGATGAGGTTATAAATGTGTAGATTATAAATTAAGTATTGGTTCTGTCATCAATATTATATTATTTATAATGATTAGAAGGTTTACCTAGTATAAATATCTATTTAGGGTAACTTATTCCCTCCTCTTATCCAATTTTATCTATCCTAAGCTAGATAAGGGTATAGGTTATCACTATGAGTGTTAGATAATTAGGAAAATACATAATCTCCACCTCGCTAATCATTAAAGAACCTAAGTTCTCCATGGGCTACTCATGACATACCCCTCTCACATAGGCGAACCATGTGAGAGAGATGCTATTAATGTTACTCTCCCTCTACTAAGAAAGTTATTAAATATAGAGGTCTTCTCTCCCTATATTTCTCCCTTTTTGAGGTCTCCCCGAATTATTACAGTAGATATACGAATACCCTTAAGATTGTCTACCCCGAGTTCTTAATTAGACATAGGCCCTATATCTCTTATATATCATTGTGTGAATTACTGAATGGATGTTATGAATCTCTTTTTGAACTTATATTATACATGGAAATGCCTTAGACCCCATGGATATCTTCCCTCATCCTTTGATCAAACCTTATTACTTTTTTCATCGGTGCTTCCTGTCAAATAAAGTGATTGGCTTTTGGCTTGAACTAGGGAATACCAATATAGTTAATGATTATGTTGATAATCAACAAATTGGGTTATTCTTAAGAATAAAATACAGTGGTAGATATTTCTAATATGGATTGCATATAATTCATAATAGTTAACCCATTTAACTATCATCCTGTATAGTATAGTAATAAACTATTTATATTAAATATATGAATATCTTCCTACCAGATTTTGTCAATTTGGATGACCCGAATAATCAATGGTATTTAACCCTCAATTTTCTTAGGAAAAAAGACGTAGAAAGGGTCCGTTGAGATTATTTTAAATAATGGTGAATTGGGTTATCAACTCTTAACTACTCTGTATGCTCCTTGTGACTCTTTGATTATATTATCCATCTCTTTTCTACTTTCAAGATCGATCCCTCACTCTATTCCTTTATCTCTCTAAATATTAGGGGTGGTAATGATATGATTTTTTTATGAGGAAGGAGGGGTTAACATGGTCTCTATTACAAAGGGTGAATTAGATTGATGGAATTAAATAAGCAACCATATATATTCAGAGCGACAAATCTAATATCATGAGAATCATGAGGGGAAGATTCCATGCATGCTAGGCTGATCTGAATCAAATTATATACTGATTTACATAGATCGAGCATATTGGCTTCAATCAAATTATTCTACCTATCCTTCCCATTTATAATAGATACACGGTACCCATGAGGAACATTTGTTCATATCAGCCTTAATTATAAACAAGATGATATCTAACTGAGTTTCAAGACATGATCAGTATAAAGGGGGTCAATAAAAATATCTTTGTTCAAGAGGGGCATAAGCACTAGATTATTATAGTCACCCCCTTAAAGAATTATTTAATAGGTATGGAGTAATAGTATCAATAGTATGAGTGCGAAGTTACCTATTAATAGAGAAGAGATATTGATATATCATACAAAATGACTAGATAATTCCTCTATTATAATCCTAGCCAAATATTCATGATTAAGGGATATTAATTTCATCAAGGGCACATTAACTTTTACATTAGTATGGTCATTTAACCTTTCAATTAAAGGGGAATGTGTTATCTCGAAGAACACCATTTATATAATCTCTTGGGGTATCTCCCACTTACCAAGATTGGTTCCAAATGTCGAGATTTCTTAAGAGACTATTTGGGAAGGTTGACTTGTATACTTCCTTTACTGACAGTTGAGAATGATTGTTCCTAATTAGATTATTACAATCTCTCTCGGTCATTAGGCAAAGGTATTTTATAGGTCAATAGTTGCCCATAAACTATTGAAGGGGCCACAATAGTACCTTAGATAATATAAAGGAGAGAGAGAGAGTATTTAAACCAAAATAGGATGGAGAGAGAGGGTTATGTCATATTCTAGATGTCTTTCCCTCATAGTATGTCAAGTTATCTAGTCTCCATGGTGAGGGACCAAGCTACAAAGGTACTATTTAAGCATCTCTCCAAACCTACAAATTATTTCATAATTGAGAAATATTGCCAAGCTTGGATTAAGTATATATTGAATATAATGCAATATTTACAAATAGAGAAATTATAAGCTCACCCCTTCCGAGGTATAATAATAAGGATTTGACAATAAGGTTAATATTGTACTAATTTCCTTATATATCGTTACCTTGAGGCATGTTAGTATTCATGAGTAATTAAAGGGAGTGCACGATATATTTATAGAGTTAAATTAGGTGAATAGTCTCATATCATGATAACTCTATAGGGAACGATATAATTGTCATTTATTAAGGTGGTTATCATCAAAATAGAGCTAATATCTCACTATTCCCTCTCTTTCCATACACAATCGACAAGATGTGCTGATATTTGTGCGAGTGGAGATCATGTAGGTAAATAGAGATTTGACATGCTCACGAAGAAGATGGGAGAGAACGTTATCAAATTCCTCATTGAGTAACTTATTAATGTTATTAAAGGGGGGATGAAGGTATGTGTCTAATTCAATGGTTATATTATGGTAGGGTTACTATAAATTATCCTATAAACCTCTAATTATATAACAACCTCACGTAATAGTTTATACCCCCTATGAGGATCAATCCATACATTGGCACCCTCCCCCTTTGCCATCGAGGTAATATAACTATATAGGATGCTAATGTGAGAGAGGCCAACTATATATGGGTAACAAACTAAAGAAAAAGCTGATTTTGAGAGCCATAATAGGGAGAGAATTTGGCACTATATTTGAGGAAAATAAGGTGTTTTACCAAGATCATTAATAAGAGGGTATTAGTTTGACAAATTTTTTATCTAAAGGATGGTTTTTGTGAGGGAGTGATTATGTCCAATTAAGATTATTTAATAAATAGGCTAGAAGTTAATCCTTTATTTCCTTCTTCATTCCCTCTTTATCACTTAATAGGAGAGTGGTCTAAATCTTTAAATTATTCGATGATAGGAATGTGGAGCTATCATCCTCCATGTTCCTATCATCTTTAACATCTCCTCCCTCCATTCCTTAGATACTCCTCACTATTAAGTTAATTACCTAATGGAGGTGAGGGAGATATTTAATATTATACGAGGGTACTACCTGTACAATATAACTAATCTCTCTACCATTTAAATAGATTACTCCTCTACTTCCAACTTAAATTATATGGAGGGAGAGGAAGAGATTAGATACAAGTATTAGAGGAGGCATGTATGGTTGATCAAAATCATATTGAGCGAGCATTTTGACATATAATACTCCCTTGACATCATTACTTTCCTTCTCCCTCTCTCCACTCTCCCTCACTCTCTCCCCATCTCTAGGCTTAATCTCTATCTCTCTTTTTTATGAGAATGTAGATGGAATGAGTTCTCACCATGAGTATAGACGAGTGAGGGAGGGAGGGAGGGAGGGAGATAGGGGGAGAGATGGCAGTGTATATCTAATTAAGTTATAAAGGGAGATAATCATGGTGTACTTCCAAATAAAGCGAGTTTAGTTATTCTCCCTATGGTAAAAAATTAGCATAAAAAGGCAACCATCCCAATTTTGTTCTCCCTCTATCTCCCCCTTCTTGTCCTAAATATACAATTAAACCCTAATATCATAGTATAACCTTATGCCAAGTATATAAAGTGGGACCATAAAGATAGAGAGGGGGAGGGGGAAGAGAGTGTTCTAGGAATAACCTTTGAATTAGAATAGATAACCAAAGGATAGGTAAATAGTGTTTTGATGGTATTTAACTTTAATGCAAGCTCGATAATTAGATATTATTGAACCAATATGAGAGCTTACTCATATTTCATACAATAAAGATTGTTTTTCTATAATTGATCGAGTATCAATTATATTGATAGTCCTTTTTATTAATTAACAAAACATCTATACATCACATTTATATTTACTCAATTCTATATTAAGCTAATTCATTTATAGATAATAAGAGGGAGAGGGAGGAAACTAATTAAAGGTTGAATTAAAGATTTATGCTAATATAGATTTGAGGGGTTAGATTTACACCTTTATTACTGATTGCATGTTTTAAATTAATATGGTAACTCAAATTATCCCTCCATCCTATACGATTGACACCTTTATAGTTCTTACCTAAAGGAAAGGTAAGGTCGATTTTTAGGCAATCAGAATGAGGGTTTATTAATGAAGAGAGAAGTTTAATTAAGTTATGGTAATACTCTAGAGGAATAGGGAGATCATATTAATAGTTGGAGTCAAAAGCCTATTGATTTTAGATATTATGGTGCAAAGAAATGAACCTAAAGTTTAACTAAGTTTAATTAGTTCTTCGCCGTCTCCCCTTTCTAATAGTTTAGATTCTATCGCCATAGACTACTTAAATTTAATAGTTATGATTAATATTGGGCATGCTAGATTAGGTATATTATACTCGTCAAGTTGTAATCTCCTCCCGCATGATTATCTTGTGAGAGGGCCTTGACACTCATTTCGATAGACATGAGTGGAGAGAAGAATATTAAATGATTCCTCAAGTTAGTTTATAGTTTATTTAAATAACCCAAGATGCTATTAATAGAGGGAGCAGCAAAATTTCTATACTCTATTGAAATAGGCCTCCCCCAACATCTTTTGAGACATAATGGGAGGGAAGAGAGGGATTTCCACTCATTCGTGCACCCTTAACTATAACCCTTAGATGGACAAGTCATATCTTACTATAGGTTTGTCTTAACATGAATATTTACATCCCTCAATTGAATTATAATAAGGAAATAATCTAGGAATAAGATTTTAAATGACCTAGTATACTATCATATACTCATGATCAAATAGTCATGAGGTTTACATGGAGGCTCTATTGGGAGAAATTAAAATACCATGTTCATAAGATAGTGTATTTGGAATATCCATACCCTATTTCTCTTTCAGCTGATTTCATGCTAGTTAAAAGATATATAGACGAGGAAATTACCTCCCTATTTATTTGGGATGATATTGTTTAATAATATTTGATTAGTGTAAATTTGGAAATCTATTATAAACAATTCTTATGTGATTTGAAAAAAATACTCATCGTGTATTTTTCCTCATGTCTCTATTGGGTGATAATAGTCTTTTATTGTATGACTTTCTTTAAGTCACGGTTAGAGAGAATAGCAAGTCTAGATTTATGAGAAAAAGGAGTACATAATATTGAGGGAATGGTGACTATAATAGTCGGAAAATGAGTTCTATATTGGAGAGACCCTCAAAATTATGATCAATTAACTATAAAATTTTGGCATTGTTATAACACCAAGTAAATGAGGATAACTTATAGATTTACTCATGCATTGATAAAGGTCTTTTACGAAAGATAGAGGGAGAAGGGGGGCTATAATAAGGAGATTATATTTCCCTATTTTTACCTAATAACGAATTACTAGAGTGGAGATTGGGATTATTTGTTAATATCATATATCTATTAAGGAGATAACTCTCCCTATTCATCATAACAAAAGTTATTATAACTATATATAGGTCATAAAATAACAATTATGGACAAACACTTAATCTACCACCCTAAAAATAGTAAGTGAAAATAATCTCTAAGGGAACCATCTCACTTTGTGATGTCATGGACCATGCCTTGTATGATCAATTGATAATATAAGAGATAAGGATTGAGATATATCATGACTAGTCATATTAGGGAAATACTAGTTGTAGTTCCCTTTCTCTTAGGAGATTATAAAAATCAACAATAGGGATTCCATTGTCACCCTAAGGTTGCCTACCGAGTAGATATAAAATTAGTTATAATTTATCTTTATTCATAAATAATTTCACAGTTTGGAGAACCAAATTAACTATATAATTCAATTTACTCTCAATGTTAAGATATGACACTTTATAATGTCCATTGCAAGACCACTATTGAAATGGCCAATATTGGAGTCCTCGGGATATTGCCTCTCTTAAAGATTTGCTCATTATAAAATTGTTTTAGCTCCTATAAGGCACTAATAGTGGGAGAGGGAGAGAGAGAGATATTTGCTTTTTATATGTTATCCAAAGGTTACAATTAAAAATCTTTTATTAGCATTCTCATAATTACTCTATAAGAGGGAGATATTTGCCTTTTATATATTATCCAAAGATTACGGTTAAAATCGTTTATTAGCATTATCATAATCACTCCATAATTAGTCCCCTAACGTAAAATATTATTTACATGCCTAATATTGGGCAAAATAAGTTTACTAGACCATATAATTGCCTAATTTAGTATGCCTAGTTCATTGGTATAAATTGAATTCTATTATCTTTCATGGAGATCCTTAACTAACTTAGATAACCATATTATATTTATTGATTCATTATCCATAAATAAATCTTATTCCGAGACAATATCATCTATCTTTCCCCACTCTAAAAAATATTTAGCTCTAGGTGTTCTCCCCTGGCTCAATTATCACTTTTTGATCGTTAATTCAATGAAGAGAATATTATTTAACTCCAATAGCTTATTATCCCTCTAATAATATTTAAATTCCATCGATATTTCTTGATTGAGTGACTTGAGGCTTAGACATTTTCAATAAATATGCTTTTATCCTCATCACACTATATATCCATTGTTTATCAAGGGAGTGTTTGATAGCCAAATGAGGGAGAAAGAGACGATGGGAGAGGGAGAAAGAGAGAGGGAGAGGGAGAGGGAGAGGGAGTAGGAAAGATGAGGTGTTTAGTTAGGCATCTATCATCCTCTCTCTCCCTTAGGTTTTCTCTCTATATTCATAAGTTTATTATAATATTTGATTAAAGAGAAATATATTATACCATATAAGAATTGATTATATCGGATAATATTTATTAGATCATATAAAATATCCGAGAGATTAGAAAAATAACCCTATTATATGGCATGGCTAATAATATAGGGCTCGTGTATATGGTCACCCTTATGGTATCTATGCTCAAGACTAATTATTGAGAATTGAATTAGGAATACAAATATTATGACAATTGAATTAGTACCTCTATAGATAAGATAGAAAATATTATGATTCCGGGGTGATGTGAACCCCACGTATAAAGATGAGAGATCCAAATACCTTTGTCGCTAGACAATCTTAAGAATGCATTTAATCAGAGTTATAATAAGCGAAACTCGACTCATTGCCTATAAGGAGGCAAGAACGGAAGCTATATTGCAATGGAGTAAGAATGCCACATCCTATGAAGGAGGATAAGTTCGGAGATGCCATAAGGATTGCAATCCTTGATAAGTGAGATATAGTTCTTAAAAGAACAAAGGAAGAAAATCCTCTTAGATTTATGAACGCTCAAAATTAAAGTGTAAGTCTGAAATAGAGCTAAACGAAACTTTATATAGGCTAACATGCCACTCCCGACCCTAAAAGGACTCTACTTTTCCTTATACTTTAAGGAGAATAGAAACAGACCCTAATGGTCTTAAAAACATTTGCAAATAATAGGGCTTAAACGTAGAGCTCAAATCGACTTAATTAATTAGTTCTAATTATAATTAAGCTAGGTATAATAAAATTAGCCCAATATGATTTAAGAAGTCCAATCTTGGACTTGGACCAAATTGACAAGTCTTGGATCCCCCTCTTTTCTTAAGATGGCACCACAATGCTCCTTTGGGCCTTTGGAGGTGCATTATGCTTGACACTTTTGAATTAGCCCATAGAGAGGTTCTTTAAGCTTCTTATCTCTTGCCCACATCATTGGACCATCTTTAATATGTAATGGATCAAATCTTAGACTTGGAAACTCGCCATCTTGGATCTCCCTTGGAGACGCCACCTTGTTGGCCTATTTGGCTCCTTGGTTTCCATCAATACAACATTGACTTTCTTTATTCTCATCATTCTCTCTTTTTTCAAAAAGATTCATCCTCGAATCTTTGTCTTGATGCTCATCATACTCCCTTGATTTGAGAACACTCATCCTTGAATCTTGTAATAACAAAGTATCAAAAACACATACCCAACCTACAAAATACAAACAAATAATGGCCAAAAAAATTATGATTAGATTTTATTATCATTCATCTCCTCCGGAAGGACAAATTCAATATATAGTATATTCTCTTAAACATCCATAATCTTTTCATTGTCTTCCTCCTTTTGCACAACCATAAGTTATTAAATTCATCCTTTTTTGGCTCTTATTGTTTTGCTAAATCTTTAATGAGCATAGACTCTTTTTGTTTAATTCTCTCTAACTTCTCCTCAAGCAGTAGTTCTCGTAAATTAATATTGAATTTGGATGCCTCAGCCTTGGGCTTGTAATCACCCTTGGTTAACTCTTTATTGATAGTAGCATAGTCATCATTAAGACTAAAATTTTGAGTGCTCTAAACACTCATAAAATCAACGATAGAGATAGCCATTGTTATGAATAAAAGTTTGAGTGATCTCAACTTTTTTTCTCTCAATTTCTTGTTTTAGGATCATTTGATCTTCATAAACTTGCTTAGTTGATAATGGAACAAGTGTTACTTTTTGTCCCCTCATTTCAAAGGAATATTTATTGCTAAACTCATTATGTGTCACTTTTCTAACAACTTGCCAAGGTTTTTCTAGCAAAATATGACCCACTCTCATTGACACAACATCACACAAAACCTCATTCTTGTATCTCCCAATAGAAAAGGACACTATCAATTGTTTGTTTACCTTGACTTCTCCACACTTACTTACCCATTGCAATGTATATGGTCTAAGATGTTCAATAACAAGCAAACTCAATTTTTTGACTAACTCATGACTAGCAATATTGACACAACCACCCTTATCTATTATCAAATGAAAAACCTTATTATTGATGACATGACATCGGGTATGAAAAATATTATCTCTCCATGCCTCTTAAATTTTCAGTTGCATCCTTAAAGCTTACATAATTACCAATGACTTACCATAAACATCATTATCAACAATCACTTTACCCTCTCCCTTAGGATTTTTATCTTTTGAATGTTTAAACCTACATAAAACTTGTTAGTAATAAAAATTCCTCACAAACACTCCTTCACATGTTTCACTTAAGTTGATGACACTCAATGCTCATGTTTGCTCTCTTTTGGGCTTTTTCTTTAATACGCTCACACTCTCTAGCCTTTTACCACTCTAACTCACTCTTTTTTTTCCCGTTTTTTTATAACCGGTAGAATATCAACACAATAGGACAAAAACAAATCAGACTTCCTTTTGTGTTTTTGTTTTTCAATTGAAATGGACTCAATTTGGACTAGAACGAAATTAATTACAAAGATACAAAATAGAACAAAAAATAATGAAAAAGAACTTGATTTATATTGAGAAAATGAATTTAAATACAAATCAAACCTCTTCCCTTTTTTTTTCTTTTTTTGTTTTTATATATAAGACATAATTTATCAAGCAAAGGAACACAAGACTTAAACAAGAAAAGATATGATAGAATAATAAGGAAGACGCAACAAAGAAAACAAGATAGGTACAAAATAAAAAACGCAAGGACTATGGATAACTAACCTAACTTTGCACAATCTAGGCTTTGATACTAATTGATGTGAACCCCACATATAAAGATGAGAGACACAAACACATTTGTTACTAGACAACCCCAAGAACATGTCCAATCAAGTTATAATAAGCAAAGCTTGAGCCGTTGCCTATAAGGAAGCAAGAACCAAAGCTATATTACAATTAAGTGAAGAACGCCACACCCATATGGAGTATGATAAGTTTAGAAACATCATAAAAGTTGTAATCCTTGATAGGTCAGATTTAGTTCTCAAAAGAACAAAGGAAGAAAATCCTGTCAAATTTATTAACTCGAAAATTATCGTGTAAGTAAACAATAGAGCTAAAGCAGCCTTTATATAGGCTAACATGCCACTTCTAACTCTAAAAGGACTCTACTTTTCCTTGCACCCTAAGGAGAATAGAAATAGACCCTAATGATCTTAAAAACATATATAAATAATAGGGCTTAAGCATAGAGTCCAAATCGACTTAATTAATTAGTTTTAATTATAATTAAGCTAGATATAATAAAATAAGCCTAATATGATTTAAGAAGTCCAATCTTGGACTTGGATCAAATTGAAAAGTCTTAGATCCCCCTCTTCTCTTAAGATGGAACCACAACGCTCCTTTGGGCCCTTGGGAGTGCATTCTAACCAACAATCTTGAATCAACCCATGGAGAGCTTCTTTAAGCTTCTTATCCCTATCCCACATCATTGGACCATCTTTAATATGTAATGGATCAAAACTTAGATTTGAAAATTCGCCATCTTGGATCTCCCTTGGAGATGCCACCTTGCTGGCCCATTTGGCTTCTTGGCTTCCATCAATACATCCTTGACTTTCTTTATTCTCATCAAGAGGGACAGAGAGTGAGGTTACCTATATTGTTAAATCTATCTCTCACGTATGATAGAGAGGGAGCTATTCTCACTCCAAATTTCATGAAATAAATAAAAAAATTCCTCTCCCTCTCTCTCTTTATGTCTTGAAAATTTAAGGAGAGATGGAGAGAGGGAGAGGGAGAGGGAGAGAAGGAGATAGAGAGAGTAAGAAATAGAGAGAGATAGAGAGAGGGATAACTATTAACCTATTTATCGACATAACTATTAGGAAGTTATAGTGATTGAGAGGGACTTTAAGTCTATGTTATATGGTCTTTCACCATGGTAATCTTTAAATATAGAAGGTGCATGAGTATCTCGTATGTTCCCTCACTTTTCTAATAATTATTATCCCTATCCACTTCTTTTACTACCAAATTATAATCCTCTTATTCTTCAATGTGGAGCTATCCCTATGGGCCAATTTATTATCCTCTAGCTATGTTATTTTATGAGTAGAGATAATATCCTCGCTTAAGTTCCATTACCTATATGGCATTACCTAAAATTTGGTTGGATTTAAATTATTATAGAGATTATTAAGAGGCCGATGTTGGGAGTAATGCACAATACCATGCCCCTTCTATCTCTCCCCCCACTCTCTTATATTTAAAGATACTCATTGAAACCTAAATGATAACTAAGTTCGGAAAGAATAGAAATAGGTAAGGGAAACCTTAGGTTTCATAATGTTTATAATTTCATGTCTCTTAATATTATGGCAATGTTATATCGGTTAACGTTCACAACCTAGTTTCTTATTGCCATATTTGGAAGGAGATTATCTTTATTCAATTATTAGGATATGGTAAACTCTCCATATCCTAATAAAATAATGATAGAGACATACTCGGCCCTTAAAGCCATGTGCATAGAAGGAGAGAGATAGAGGGAGTAGGCTAATTAGGTATTTGGATTGAACCATATCTCTTGGGGTATTATCTCCTTTTCTCTAGTAATTAAGTCTTCAATTCCAATACTAATTGAAAGGAAAAATTAAAAGTTTGATGCTCCTTTTTATTAATTAACAAAACATCTATACATCACATTTATATTTACTCAATTTTATATTAAGTTGATTCATTTATAGATAATAGGAGGGAGAGGGAGGAAACTAATTAAAGGTTGAATTAGAGATTGATGCTAATATAGAATTAAGGGATTGGATTTACACCTTTAATGCTGATTGCATGTTTTAAATTAATATGATAACTCAAATTATCCCTCCATCTTATACGATCGACACCTTTATAGTTCTTACCTAAAGGAAAGGTATGATCATTTCTTAGGCAATCAATA